TGGCCTGTGAGTGCCGACAACCGCGGGCGCCCGCCGCAGCCCGGCTTCCAGAGCGCAGCAGCCAAGTCCTTGGGGTACAGAGCTGGGCAGGGCAAAGACTGCGCTGGGACTGGGGCTCCCTCCAGCTTCTCCCCACTTGCCAGCTGTGGGGCCTGGGGTGCTTGCTTAGACACGGTGGGAGCTCCTGCCCTTCGCTGGAGCGTAAGGAGGTTGTTCGACTGGGAACAGCAAGAGGCCGCTGCGACCAGCATGTTGGGCTCTGTGTGCAGTGGGCACCAGTCACAGCGGCAGGAGGGGTGACCCCCCCCCAGGACTCCTGGGCAGCAGGGACAGGGTGGGCTGCTAAGCTGCTGCCCCTCAAGTGTGGAGTTTGCCCTCCTCAAAACATCCCTCCCGCCTGCCCGTCATGCCCGCTGCCTCCGGAGCCGACTGAGGCCAGCCCCAGGGGTGTCCTTGTGCAGCCCGACTTCCTAACCCTCTCACAGCCTGGTGGCTCCCAGTGGGGCCAGCCAGGGGCTCTGCTTTCCTAGAGATAGTGCTTGCTCTTCCTGTCCCAGGACAGCACGTCTGGGGAGGGAACTGTTAGCTCCTTGACTTAGGGAAGGTTCTAGAACCTTTTTTGGGGGGGTGGCTTTGATGGGTGGAAGCAAGGAAACAAGTTCCTCAAGAAGGAGAGATCCAAAAGGATCTCACACGCCCCTATCCACAGTCTCGCAGGGCTGGGGTCCTAGGCCCTCGGTGGCCATGCCCTGGTGACCCAGCGGCCAGCTCTTTGGCCCTATCCTTGCAGGGCTGCGCTTCCCACACCCTTGGTTTGGCCTGAATTCTGTTTCAGGTTGTCCTCTAAATGGAAGGCAGGGCGGATAGAAGGGGTCTTGTGCTCTGCACCAGGTAGATGAGGAGTGGATTCTGGTCAGGGCCAGGCTGTGGGGAAAGCAGGAGCTCAGCATACCACGTCAGGGCTTTGCTGGGCCTGGCTCATACGATGGGAGGGCAGCCTGAGGGTGCCGGTAGGCCTGGGAGCTGGGGGGCTGTGAGGGCGGGTCAGAGGGGTGAAGAGTGACTGGGCACAGCCTGCCATCTCTGCCACCAGATCCGAGCCAGACCCAGAGCAAGGAAAGGCCCCAGGAGTCCCCGGAGGATGTCTATTATTGAGTGTGTGTGAGTCCAGGGTTCTTAGACGGGGGTCACAGTCCTAGGAGGAGGGCTGGGGGAGAGCACAGGACAGGCAGGTCACCAGGACCCACTGGGCAGGAGGCAGCTTGCACCGAGTGGGAGTTGGGATTAGCCGGCTGCCCCCCCGCCCCAGGTCTGGCACCAGCTTTCGACAGGCTGGGGCTCTTCCCGCCTCTGCAATCTGATGACCGCCCCCCGCCCCCAGAGAGGCCCCTGCAGGTCCCTCCTACCAGACACCCTGCTCTTTGGGAAGTGCCTGGTAGGGCATGGGGTTAGGGGTGCAGGGAGGGTGGGGAGAAGGCAGCTGGCTTGATGTTCTGGTTGCTGCTGCGTGCCAGTGCCTGGGCTCCTGGCTTAGAGCCATTCTTCAGGTGGTGAGCGACAGGCCCTGGCATGCATGCGGTCCCTGTCCACCCTGTAGCCCAGGAGGAGGTCCCTCTCCTGTCGGGACCTCAGCTCCCACATCTGCACACGTGTGCCCAGATCAGCTCAGAGGCGCAGAGTTCCTAGTGGGGTTGCTGTCTGACAGCCGGAAGCCAGTGTGGGCTGGAGCATCTTTCTGGGGACTGGGCTGGGGGGTCAGCGCCCTGCCGTTGTGGCTGCCGCGCCTTCAGATGGTTTGGGGAGCTTCCTCTGGCATGAATCTGTCTTCTTGGGGCCTGCTTTAGTCTACGCAAGAGGTCCCCCACTTCCTCAATTCCAGAGCCCCAGGAAGTGTGCAGTGCCCCTCCCATTTGAAGGAGAAGTTGGTGAGTACCTCAGGATGGCCTGGTTAGTTCGCGGGGACACTGGCCCCAGCACCCACCGGGTGCTTTGTCCTGGGTCTGCCATTGCTTTCCCCCTGATGTGGCCCAGCTGGCCCCAGAAGCAAACAATCAGGGTCCAGAGGCCACCCAGGTGCATCCTGGACAGGAACAAAGCCGGCGGGGGGCCAGTCTGAGACCAAGAAATCTGGAGCAAGAGAAAGCCCAGCCGGCACCCCTAAGGGGCCTGGGCTTGGACGGAAGGAAGGGCGGGCACCCGTAACCTTCAAAGCCTGACCTGGGGCTGGGCAGGGGCACCGAGGCCCAGAGGTAGAAAGTGGGGCCTGCCAGGGGCATCCCCACGCCTGAGGATCAGCAGGCCTGTGCCCCACCGTCGGAGCTCCATCAGGCCCACACAGGGGCCTTCCTTCCGGCCAAGACACCTGAGGAGTGCTCTCCAGGCTGAGGGCACAGCACCAGTGAGGGGGCAACAAAGCCAACACGGTGCTGGTGCCAGGAGCACAGGGGTGGGGGGGCCCTAGTGCGGGAAGGCCAGGAGATGCGGCTCAGCCACGAGCGCGTCCGCCCAGTGCAGGGAAGCAGGGTTTGTGAACAGCCCTCCCCCATGCCTGCTTTCTGTCGCTGCTGAGCTGGACGGGCCCGGGTGTGTGCTGTCTAGGCAATGGCTTCACCAGAGCCCTGGACAGAGGCACACTGCAGGTGACACGGGGCCACTGGAGCTGCTAGCTCCCTCTGCCTCTAACTGGCTGGGGGCATGGTGGTGCTTCCAGCATGGGCAGCTCCCAGGGGCCCCGAGGAGCTGGCTCTGGGGTCGAACCAACCCCTGCCTGACCGCCTGTGGCCTGGGGCGCCCATGCCGAGGAGCTGGGGGCTGCCCGAGGACCAGCTGTAGGAACGAAGCCCTCAGTCCCCGGGCTGAGGGGGGCCCGTCTGGCGGGGAGATGGGTGTATGCATGGCCAGTCACACGTGGGGAGGTCTGGGTGGGGAAGGTGCTGGGCCCCAGAATGGAAATGGCAGGGGCCTGTGATGGGGGCTGGCAGGGCAAGAGTGGACTCACCCCCGGCCCCAGGGTGGCTGAGTGTTGGTCTCTGCCCCATGAAACCCCACAGTCCCTTCCCCTTCTAGGCCCCAGGTGTCTCAAGACAAGTTGTTCCTTGCGTGTTTGTTGAGTGAGGGCTTGAATGAATAGGGGCCCGACAGGTGTGGGCAGCAGGGTTTTATCTCCACTATAGGAGCAGCTTATCCCATGAGATGGCACAAAAGCAAGGGCATGGGAGAGGATCCCCTGGCCAGGCAGCGCCCCCAGCTGGTACCTCATCGCCTGCCTCTGGCTCAGGAGGTGGCAGGGCAGAAACAACACAGTTCCATTTTACACGTGAGATAATGGGAACCTCAAGGCTGAGGGAAAAACACAGCAGCAGTGCAGCCCTGGGGGGGGCAGTCCCAGGGGCAGTGTCCCTGCCTGGTGTGTGTGTGTGGGGGGGCTCTTTCCTTTGGTGCCCACCGCCCCTCACAGGCGGTAAGTGGGAAGGGGGCGGGGGCTACAAAGGCCTACACTGGGGGATGGGGGACCAAGGTGGGGAAGGGCCAGGCTGGAGGTTGGAAAGGCATCCAGGGACTGTTCCCAATTTGAAAAATCTCGCATGTGCCTCACCAACACCTGGAGTTGTGTTGGGGTCCTGACCCCTCCCAGCCCACACTCTTCCATCCCCCATGGCCTATCCTAATACTGGATATTAGGGAAAACAGGAACCTGGGGACCTGAGCCAGCTGAATGGGGACAGGAGCTCAGGCTCAGGAAAGAGCTGGAGGAGGCTGCCAGGCAGTGGAGGCTGGCTGAATCCAGGCAAGTGATGGGCACAGCCTCAGACTCTAGTTCCTCAGCTGAGCCTGGGCTCCCACCGTCTACTGGCGCTCTCCCCCTGTAGGAGACACCATGCTCCTACGGGGGCCCTCAGCTCTAGGGTCCGGTCTGACCCTGCACAAGCCCCTCTCCTGGGCTTCTCACCATGACCCCGCCGGCCCCCAGAGGTTCAAGAATGCAAGGGTTCCCATGAGCCCTTGGCCGCCAATGCCCTGGCCTCTGGCTGTCTGATACAGTTCCTCTTGCTGTGCACCGAATTGGGGTTACCCCGGCTGGGCTGATGCAAGGGTAGAAGGCACATCCCCTTGTATGGCTGGACTGGGGCCATTGTGAGGTCCTTCCCAATTTGAAGTCCTTAAAACATGGGCCTGGGGGTGAGGGGAGGATGGATTCCCAGCCCGAGTCTAAGATTCCAGGTTAGTGTTCGCTTAGAGAAGTGGAGGTGGGGGACAGGTCCCAACTGGGCCCCAGAGGCTGTAAGAACAGGAGGGGCCCTGGCCCAGAGTCTGTGCTGGGGCAGTCAGAGGGGCCACTGGAAATCGGGGTGGGCTTCCTAGAGGCATCCTTTGAGCTGAGGCTACCCCCCACCCCAAGCCCCCCTCCCCACAACCTGGGGCAGGGCTCAGGAAGGGAGGGCAAAGCCAGAGACCAGGCAGGGCCTGGTGGCTGAAGGCCTTGAGTGCCTAGGGAGGGAGGCTGGGTCTTAGCCTTCAGGAACAGTGCAGCCATGGAAGGACTTGAGGAGGAGGTGGCCCCTGCGCACTTCCCAGATCACAGGTGGACACTGGGGAGGGATGACAAAGGCAGGCGCTGACCCAACTCAGCTACAATGATAAGGGATATAGCAGAGCCCCGGGAGGACCAGAGCTGCAGGGACAGCGCTGCAGTCTTCTTGGAGGAAAGGGAGTGCGGGCCGAGGGCCGGGCGGGGAGGAGAACTCGGGGCCGGGCCACTCGTCGAAGGGGAGGGGGTGTGGCGCTGGAGGTGGCCAGACGGACGTGAGCCAGGAAGAACACGCTGGGGGGCCGCGGGCAGGGATGTGGCGCTGTCCAGCTCGTCGTGGCCTCGTCCTACCGCGGGCATCGTCCAGGCTCGCAGGCCGGCTGCTCCCATCCCAGGGCGCACTCAGGGCCTCGGTTTCCCCGCGCGGCGGGGCGGGGCGGGGACAGTGCGAGTCTCGAAGCCGCCTGCAGGGGGCGCCCGTGAGCGCCGCGGTCGGAGCCCGAGCCCGAGCCGCCGCGGAGACAGCGGGAGCCGGCGCGCGAGCGGCAGGTCAGCCGGGGTCTCCGGTCCGGGGTCCCGAGGGTCCCTGGCGGGCGGCCGGGCGGCATGGGGCCGTCGGAGGCTGAGGGGCTGGGAGGGACGGGTGGCTCGGGACCCCTCCCTTCAGGGCACCCGGCCGTCCCGACCCTCTCTTCCCGCCACCCCGAGAGCGAGTTCACAGGGCTGGGGTCCGAGCTCTGCCCCGAGGCGGGGACCGGAATGCCGGGCGGGTGCAGGGGCGGCTCAGGCGCGGGCGCACGTCCTAAGCCCGGTCGGGGGGCGGTAGTGCGGACCCTCCGGGCCGCCCCAAACTGAACCGGAAGGTGCGCACGGGTAGGCGGGGAGGGGAGGGGGCGCGAGAGCCCGATGGCCCCGGGCGGCGGGGGTTGGGGGGGCAGGCGTCTGGACCCGCAGGTGACGTGCGGGGAACGTCCGTCGGTCCGTCTAGGCGCCACGGGCCGGCCCCAGGGCACTCGGCTAACCTTCCGGACGCGCCCGGCGGGGGTGGGCTGGGGGCGCAGAGGTGCGGCCCGAGGGAGGGCGGGTCGCATCCCCGGCAGGGGGGGGGGGCGCGCGAGAGGGCTTCCGCAGGTGGAGCAGCCCAGGGCGGGGACCGCATTCCGGGGGAGGAACGGCGGCGAGGGCAGACGCTCGGCATCCCGAACGCCTGGGGCGCGGCGAGAAGGGGAGTCGGGAACGCTGGGCCGAGGCGGGAGCGTTCCGGGGACAGTGGTGGCGGGACCCGGACTTAGGGGACCCAGGGGAGTCCGGAGGCCGGGCAGGGTGGGTGCACGCCTCGGAGTGGGCCTGGCCGTCTGCCGGGCTGCCCTGAGCGGAGGTAGGAATGGCGGGAATGGTGGCGGCCCTCGAGGGATTTGGCGCAGGACGGCCCAAAGGCTCAAGGAGGGGGCCGCGGGCCCGCGGAGCGGAGACCTCTGCGTTCCCGGCACCGCCATGCCGCTTTAGACTTTAACTTTCCAGACTGTAAAATGGGAGGACGGTGGAGGCCAAGGCGGAGGCCGAGGGATCTGTGGCGGGAGAAGGAGAAGCGGGAGGGCAGGTCTCCCCCTACCCCATTCCCTAGGACTGGAGCTGTGGTTGGCCCCTGGGGGAGGATTCGGCTGCCCCTTTGTCCCGCTTTCCCTCACCATCGCAGGGAGCACCCAGGCCCGTTTCCACCCACAGGGCCAGTGCTCACCTGTCGCCCAGGACTCAGGCTGCCCTCCCTTTGGCCTCTGCTGTCCAGCCAGCCTCTGCACCCTCCAGAACATGCTCTGTGTTACCTCCATGCCCCACCATGGTTGCCCCTGGTTGTCCGCCCCCCACCCCGACCGTGGGGACCGTGATGGGGAGCTCTTTGGAGTGCAGTGGGCCAGAGAGGATGTTGTGGGGCCAGGGGCTCCCTCTTCAGTCCTGCTGTGGCTGGTCCTGGAGGCACTGGCTGGGCTGGCACAGCCCTGCCCTGTGGGCCAGCTCCCCATCTCGGGTCTCAGCAGGTCCATGACGGGATCTCCTCACCGAGGCCTGTCCACAGGTAGTGGTGTCAACACCTCTTTGCTCTGTCCTTGCCCTTTAGGGTCTCCCTGGCTCTCCCAGGTTTTAGTGTCCCTCGGGCCACTGCCCCTCCATCCTAATCCCCTCAGTGTAGACCAGGCTCTGGGCTAAGCCAGCTTCCCTGCTGATAACCTCAGAGAAGCTGAGGGCAGCCCAGATATGGATGGCAGGTGAGAGGCTTTGGGCCAGGTCAGTCCTGGCTAACCTTTGGGGCCCTGCATGTTGCCTCCCTCATGTTGGTCTGTGGGGCGCAGGCCCCCAACCACACTGTGGTCCTGCCCCCTAGGAGCCCACAGACCAAGAGAGCAATGGCGGGCTTCAAGGGCAGCCCAATGGGCAGCAGATTTCGATGCCCAAACCTGGGTTCTGGTCTTGCCTCCTTGGCACACTCGCTGCCTTATCTGTGAAACAAGCATGATGGAAAGAACCACACTCGACGTACAGGGTTGTGATGGAGAGTAAATGAGAGATGGGCATGAAAGGGGCAGGTCAGAACCAGAGGACGGGTTGGGGTCTGTGCTTGAGCTGGGGAACCCCAGAGGGAGGCTGTTGGCCCTGCGTGGAGGGGGGCACACCACAGGGCATCACAGAGGGACATGTGGCCTGGAGTTGGCTTGGTGGCAAGCACGTGGCTTCAGGGCACCACACCCTGCAACATTTAACCTGTTTCATTCCGGAGCTACCTTACCCCGATGGGCTGCAATCGCCAGCTCAACCATCTTGTGGCGTTTGTCTCGTCTGCCGCAACTCAGACTGGGTGCTGAAAGATGTGCACAAGGGAGGCTAAGGGGAAGATGACCAGAGGGTGGGCCACGGCATGAAGGATGCCGAGAAGGGGTTTTGGGGTGTGTGTCAAGGGCTTCTGAGGAGACACCGGGAGTCAGGTGCTGAGCAGGCAAAAGGAACAAGTCCCAACTCCCAGGGAAAGGGTCTGGGCCCAAGAAGCATCAGCAGTCACAGAAGGGAGGGGTTGTTACTTCATGGTCGGGAGGCAATGGTTGGGGTGCAGTGCCTGAGGGCGGTACCCCAGAAGTCTGTGCTGGGCCCAGATCGGGGGAGGGAAGTGGGAAATGGGCAGGAGCTTGGAGCTGGGATGCAGAGAGGAGGCCCCCAGGAGACTGCTCACCTTCTGGACAGGGCCTGGGAGCACTAGGTGGTGCGAAGGGGCAGGTTAAGTGGCAAAGGTCCCTCAGCCCCTGCCTACAGAATCACGAAAAGGGCCCTGGCAGAGTGGGGTCCACGGGATCCTGCAGGGGAGGGGAAGGTCTGGATGGAGGCGAAGAGCAGCTGTCTCTCACTCCAGCCTGGGGGGTGGGGGGTGGGAGGTACACAGGGAAGACAGGGTGCTCCAGCTTTCCAGGACCCCCCCCCCCCCGCCCAAGCTGTCTCTGACAGGCCTCTGAGCCTCATACAGGCTGTTGTATTTGCCTGGAATCTCCCCCCTCCCTCCGCTCATTTCCCTGTCCTCCAAGCCCCGCCCAAGTGGCCCCTCCTCTGGGAAACCATCCAAACTGCTTTGGGCCCAGACCCCCTTCTGCAGGACACGCCTGTCTCCGAAGATGCTGGGCAGGGGCTGGTGCTGTCTTTCTGCGGCTCCCCCTTCTGCCGCTGCTGCCAGGTACTGGGGGCCACTGAGTTAACAAGAAGCAGTGGCGGAGCCGCGTGGTGTCCGGTGCAGCCCACGGGGCCGTGCTGCCCTTGCTGGCTAATGCTCTCACCCTCTCCCTTCAGCTTCCAGGGCTGCGTCATCACACCTTCGTCCCAGGGACCCCAGAAAGGGGGTCTCCTTCCCTCCCATCCTCAGTGGGGCCACTGTCTAAGAAGCTCCTGCCTCCAACAGACCAGCCTTCTGCCAGGCCCCACCCAGGCCCACTAGGGCCATCTAGGACCCACCTCCCCCCGCCGTATCCCCTTCAGGCCTCATAGTGCCTGTCATCCCACCATTAGAGGATGCATTTGAGGGAGGTGTGGGTGCCAAGCACGTCCTAGGGTGCCGTCTCACCGGAGCCTCGGTGCAAAGGGGAAGACTCTTGCTCAGGATCTCAGGGAGTGTGGGATGGAGCAGGAGTGGGATCCCACCTAAGCTCCTTCCACCACAGAATGGGCACCCAGCACCTTGTGTGTGGGGTGACTTGGAGGGGAGCCTGTCAGAGAGGTGGCCAGTGAGGCGGTGAATGGAGACCTCCGGCTGGGAGGACGCAGACTCTCCCCGTATCTGGCCTGGTTGTGTGGAGATGGGAGAGGGCCTCTGGGCCCCCCTGTGGGGAGAAAGGAGTTGGGGCAGGCCCTGTGGCCCCAGGAGCCGATGATGTGGAGGCTGCTCGAGGGGCCGGATTCAGTACAGGGAGCTGGCTCTCCACCCCACCAGTTCCTGCCCACATCCTGCCCCTGGGGCTGAAAAGGGCAGCCTCCAGAGGGGCGGTGGGGGAGGGGGGGGAACCACTGGATGTCTGCCTGGTACTTCGGCCCGGCCTGCACCATGGTCCTGAAGTTGTCCTGCAGGGAGGGAAGGAGAGAGGACAGGGGCCCCAGTGCTCCGTGGTTGCTCACCTCCAGGCAGTACAGGAAGACACTTGTCCCACTCCAACCGATGGGTTTGGAGAGGGGCTTGGTAGGTTCCAGGGCCCCTGGGGTTCTGGGAGGCGTGTGCCCAGGCCCGGGCCGCTCCAAAGACTAGTCACGGCAGAGCCAGCAGCGGGCTTGTGGCTGAGAGCTGGAGCAGAGCTGCCTGTCCCGCTGTTTCTTCTTTGCCTGTTGCCCTCTCCACGCTGACTGAGCTCCCATGAGACAGGTGTGGGTACTTCTCCGTCTACCTTCCACGCCCCTCAACTTTGTGTCTTTGGGAAGTTGCTGTGATAATTCCTCAGTGCTGGTGAGCGCTCAAATCCCCAGGTGTCTCCCAACTGTGTGCATGCCTGAAGCGCAGCATGTGGCTTGTGTTCTTTGCCTCGGTCCCTTTATTTTTCATTTCGGGGACTTTTTATTATTTCTTGTTCACGTTCATCTGTTCTTGTTTCATTTCTGCCAGTCGAGTCATAAGTTCTCATTCTTGCTTGTGGATGCTACTCCTTTTTTCAGTTCTTTAAAGATCCTAAATGTCTTTGAAAAGCATTATTAGATTATTACCTTCGTCTTTTCCCGAATGAATGAATCTCCATATTTGGGGTGCTGTTGCTTGTCTTTCTTAGCTTGAGTTTTGCTCCGGTGCTTCGAAATTGTGGTTTGCAGGCTTATCATCAGTGGGAACTGAGGCCCTGGAGGCAGGGAGTGACTGCACGCTAGGGTAGCAGCTGGCTCTCAGCAGTCTCCTGGGACAAGTCCTCCTTCAAGGTCCCGCACTGTAGGCTCAGGACCCTGCTGGGGCCAGGCTCAGCAGCATGTGGTACAGAGCTCCCTCCCTGTGATCCCGCAGCTGGGATGCTGCTTGGCACAGAGTAGGCACTGGTGGAACGTTTGCTATGAGAAAGTAACAGGAGAGTCTCGGGCCAGGATTCTGGAGCCCAGCACTGGGCCGAGCATGGTTATTCCAGGTCCGCGTCCCTGCACTGGGCCTGGTATGTTGCCCTGTGCAGCACCTAGAAGCAGAGGGACAGGGTCCTACCTGGAAGCTAGCAGGCACCTCCGTCCAGTAGACTCTGGGGGGGTACAGCCACCATCTGGGCATGTGTACAGAAAGCCTTGCTAGGTGTGACTTAAAAGGAGCCAGAAGTGGGCCAGGAAATATGTGGGTTTTTTTTTTTTTTGATTTTTTATTTATTTATTTGAGAGAGAGAGAGAGAATGAGAGATAGAAAGCACGAGAGGGAAGAGGGTCGGAGGGAGAAGCAGACTCCCCGCTGAGCAGGGAGCCCGATGCGGGCCTCGATCCCGGGACTCCAGGATCATGACCTGAGCCCAAGGCAGTCGCTTAACCAACTGAGCCACCCAGGCGCCCAATATGTGGGTTTTGATTAAATGGAGTTTTAAATAAAGTGACCAGGTCGGGGGGGTGAGGAGGAAGGCCAGAAGCAGCAGTAGCTTTGAATCTGACTGCTGGGAATCCTACAGGGCTGTCCTTTCAAGGCTCATCGTGCATGTTCCCCAGCACGTGTCTCTAGTTTTTATGGGACAGCTTCTGCCCTCTGCCCTGTCCCCAACAAGGGATAATCAGAGGGAAATATTACATTATTAACATTTAATTTCCTTTCCTGGCTAGCAACAGATGACTCAAGAATTAATTAGATAGAGCCAGCAGAGAGGGATAGGAAATTGCCAGATCCTGGCTCCACCCCTGGCCCCCTCCCCTTGGGCCTCAGACCTTCCTGTCGCTCTGGGAGGCCTCTGAAGGGAGGGAAGCTGAGAGGGGCCAGGAGGCCCCAGGAAATCTTCCTGCTGCTGTGTTTTCCATGGGCATTTCTCTCAGCTCTATCCCACCCTTTCATGCTCTCGGTAAGGCTGGGGGAGGTCGTTAACCTCTTTGGGACTTAGCTTCCTCATCTGTAAAATGGGGCTCATGGGGCCAACGAGAATAGATGAGCCCATTGTCACCATGCCCTCATATTGTGAGCTCCCAAGCAGGCTGCCTCTGCTAAGAGGGTCTGGAGTAGAGTCCCGGCATCCTGGGAGAGTGCAGGGCTTGGTGGCTCAGTGGTGGCCAGAGCCCAGTGACACAGGCTCTCTTGAGCTGTGTGTGCGAATTCCCATTTCTTGTCAGTGACACATTAGTAGCTTGAAATTGGCTATCCTGGGAGCATTTACACCATGAAAGTCTGACAGAGGCCACAAGTTAGGGTGCCCCCACCCCCTGGGCTGATTTGCCCACCTGTGGCTGGGAAGCTCCCAACCTTCCCACAGAACAGCTCCAGTAGGGGGCTGTTCAGCCTTCTTCCTGCCCTGTCTGTCCCCTGGTGCCTTGGGCTCCACTGATGTTCTCTGCTTGGGGGCTGGCACTCTGGTTTACAGATGCCCAGTCTGCCTGTGGGGCCAGGCCAGCCTCACCCCAGGATGAGGTGGCAGCAGCTGGAAGAACCCACAGGAATGCTGTAGGAAGGGCAGATGCAGAGCCAGATGTGCAAGGAGGCAGCCTTTTAGGACCCAGCTGTCAGGGGCATTAGCTCCTTGCAGGACTGACTTGGGCAGGAGGATCTGCTGCACCCAGTGAGATGGGGAGGGCACCCCAGGCATGGTGTACAGCAGGCATGTGGCTTCAGTGTCGTCAGGAAGAGTGTTGGTACCGGGTGCTGTTCACCATGGAAGCCCATAGCGCAGAAGGTGGTGGGGAGGCCCTGAGGACTGGGGGTTTGCAGGCAGGCACCCAGGGCTGCCAGGAGAGCCTCACCAAACAGAGGCCTGGGTTAGGCCCCTTGAAAAGGCCTTTCTAATCCAGGCATCCTGGCTCATGGAGTCAACCTGGCATCCAGGACAGGTGCTGGTGGTGTGACCCCATCAGCGGGGCTTTGGGCAGTGGGATAGGGCAGCCTGGCCTCAGCTCCACAGAAATGTGATACATATTTGGGTCAAGTAGACCACTGGTGGTCCTACGTCGTCTTTCCCCAGGAAGGGCCTTCTGAATCTGGACAAAGGTCTGGGGCCAAGTCAGGCCTCTAGCCTGGGCTGGTCAGATTGGCAGAGGCTGTGGCGCCTCTCAATGCAAATTCCCCTGGAGAGACCGTGAGTCCAGGTCAGAAGGGTGACGGGTGATGGTGAAGAGGCTAGAGGGCAGACAGCTCACAGGTAGTGGGAGGCAGGGTCCCTGAGGCTTACTGGGCCTGGCCAGACCCCACTGGACAGTGGCCTGCTGCCTCTACTGCTGGACCTGGGAGGCCCCTGTGTGGCAGGCAGTCTTGGGCCTGTCACTTCCCTTCTGCTGAGTGAAAACTAGAGCCCGGACACACAGCTTCTGCAGTTGGGGGGCGGGGGGGGGGGGGTGTCCCTGGTGAGTGCTGCTTTGGGCTCTAGGCCAGGGACACTGGGGCCAGTGATAGTACTGGGAGACTTGGTCTGGCCCTCCTCTGCCAGTGACATGCTTCGTGAGCAGTTGGCTGGCAGGTACCCTGCTTATACTGGGGTCTTGGGATTCATTCACGGTCCCTGCGTAGTGGGCCCCTGCCGGGCCTGGGAGAAGCCCATGGGGTCTGCCCCAGGCTGCGGGAACCCCTCCACTTTTCAGGGACTGTCCTGTTTCCCGGTGTTGGGTGCTCCACTGGAGCCTCCCGGTGGGCACAGGGCCTAGCCCTCGGGTGTAGGTCCAGCCGCCTGAGGCACACTGGAGTTAGAAGGAGACTTGTGTTCCTCTGGTGCAGCCCTCTGTCACCTCCTGGATGGGGTGGGAGGAGCCTGGCCCTTGGAACATGGCAAGGGACCATGAGTCACCTTCCCCCAAGGTTACCAGTCCTACCTTGTGTCCTGCAGGAGTGAGGGAGGACACACTTTCCTGAGCCCATGTGTGGGCAGCTGAAAGGCAACTTCGGGCCTCTTGCCCCCAGGCAGGCAGCAGCTACTGCCCGTGCGCACCTGGGGCCCCGTGAGGGCCCAGGACCGGAGGAGGGGGTGGATGTGGCATGAGGGGACACTGCGAGGCAGCACCTGTGAGTGACAGGTGGGGGCAGCGGCAGTTGGGAGAGGCCCCCAGGCTGGTAGTGGGAGATGGAGACCATTTCACAAGCTCAAGGGAACCCTGGGAGTTTGGGCTGGGGGAGCCCGAGACCTTGACTTCTGCTTGTGCTTCTGCGGGGTGTCATTCCTTACATTTCTATGACATTTTGACTCTGGGGGAGCCCTTTCAGATCTATTTATTTCCTTCTCATGGAATCACGAGTGAGAGCTGCAGCGGTCCCCAGAGGCTCTCTGGGGTCTGATCTCCTCATGGTATCAATGAGGAAACTGAGGCCTAGAAAAGAAAAAACCATCCTTGCCTGCAGTTCCCCAGCAAGTCCTGGCTGAGCGCCCTGCTTTCTGCCCAGCACCACACTAAACTTAGCCTATGCTGGCATCAGCCAGGCAGAGGAGCAGGTTGGGGAGCAGGTGTGGGAGGAGGGAGGGGAGGCCGCCGCCCCCCCCCCCCAGACGTGCCGTCAGCTGTCAGGGGCTGCTGAGGGGCGGGCCCCCTCTGTGCCTGCTCCTCCACACTGTGCAGCATCACCAGCAAGGGCCTGGGGGCTCACCTGCCGGCAGTGGGAGACAGGACCAGACGGGCCACCCAGGTCCTTCCAGATCAGAGCTCTAGATGTCTCTGGGCCTCTCCTTAACCTAGCGGCGTAGGTAGGTCCTGGTGGTTCCCAGGGAAAGCTCTTGGGGGACGGAGAGGACTGAGGCTGGCCGAGAGAGAAGGTAGGTGGGCCTGGGAGAGCCGAGGAGTGAGGGGGCCTTTCTGGAAGGGTCCTGGGGTGGCAGTGAGCTCAGGGACCCAGGAGACTGAGGGCTGCCACAAAAGGCTTGGGGAGCTGAGCATGGGGAGCAACACAGGTGACTTAACTTTAAAAGATTCCTGTCTCCCCTAGAAAACACAAGGGCTGAGGCTGATGGCCAGCCCCGTGTCCAGGCTGGGAGGGGCGGGGCACAGTGGGTTGTCCTCAGGCCGATGCCTGGCCTGCGGGGAGGGCACTGGTGAGTGGGACTGATGGCCGCCCCCCGGGGAGTCTTCCGCTTTGCCCACTTTGCCCGCTTTGTGGTCCAGCTCCTCACGAGGCTTCTCCCTTGGCAGGTGCCTTGGGGACTACGAAGCCGAGCTGAGCCAAGATGCCGCCGGGGCCCCTGAAAAGGGCCCAGTTTCTGGAGACTCAGAGTGGGCTGTGAAAAAGCCCTTGGGGAGCCCCCCTCCCAGGCAGGGAGGCTCTCGGCTCCTGTGAAGAAGGGGCTCAGGGGCCTGGGCAGGGCCAGCTGCACTGCAGCTATGGACCGTGAGCTGGCCTGGCCCGCGTCCTTGCTGACCCTGCCTGTCTGCAGCCGTGCCCACCATGGTCTCCTGGGTGTACATCATGGTGGAGCTGGCCATTGCCGTGCTGGCCATCCTGGGCAACGTGCTGGTGTGCTGGGCCGTGTGGCTGAACAGCAACCTGCAGAACGTCACCAACTACTTCGTGGTGTCCCTGGCGGCAGCCGACATTGCTGTGGGAGTCCTCGCTATCCCGTTCGCCATCACCATCAGCACAGGGTTCTGTGCGGCCTGCCACAACTGTCTCTTCTTCGCCTGCTTTGTCCTGGTCCTCACGCAGAGCTCCATCTTCAGCCTCCTGGCCATCGCCATTGACCGCTACATCGCCATCCGCATCCCACTCCGGTGAGCTGGGGTCTGGGCGCGGTGGGTTGCCCCTGTTCTCTTCCTTGGCACGCCTCATGCCGGGGTTCACACCTGTGAAAAGGCCGCCTGTGCCAAGGTCTGCTCTGCGCCCAGCCAGGGTCCGGGTGAACCCGGGGTCCGGGTTCGGTCTTTGATGTCTGCGTGTTTGAGCGGAGGACAGCTCCATGGGGCTCAGCCTGGGGCTGCCCAGGGCCCAGCACACGGCCAGCAGCCGTGCCGGTCCAGTTGATCCCTGTGGGCACTGGGCACCCTGGACCTCCCCGGTCTTCCCCAAGCTGCGTGGTTGAGGCTGCTGCTTTGGCTGTTGACAGATGTGTGTGGCCCAGGCCTGAGCGGTGCATCTGGGCCATTTTCTCACACGGCATGATGCTGGGGTGGGGCGGGGCACCACGGGAAACCACAGGCCCTCAGAGCCAGAAGCCCTCCCGCCTGCCCGCCTCTAGCTCCTCTGGGCCAGCTGCAGTTTGCACATTAGGAAAATGACCCAGAGAGGGGAAGTGATTTGGCTGAATGCCACAGTGAGTCACTTGGACCAATATGCAAATTTGGTGCTCCTCAGGTCAGCAAGTACTCATGGTCTTGGAGAGAGCTTGTGGGCTCAGCTAGTGGAGGGGGTTTTCATGGTGAATCTTCTGTGAAGTGACTTCAGCCCTGGACTGTGTAAATGAAGACTTTCCCTGAGGCTGAGTTCATTTAATGTGGCCTCCACCTACCTGGCCCTGAGGGAAGCTAGGAAGTACCTCCCTCCCCCAGAGTGTGTGTGTGTGAGGGGGGAGGGGACCTCCTGCCCCACCTCCTTGACCCTACATCTGGGAGCTGGGTTCCACAGCCTGGGTGGCTGCAGACCCTGAGGGAGGTCTCAAAGGACCAGGGTACCTGGCCCTGTGGGGAATTCTCCCAAACAGGTGAAGTGCCTACCTGTGGAGCAGGCCTCAGCAACCCCGTGCTGGCCAAGCGCAACCCAGCCGGGAAGAGGAGCAGGTTCAGTGAGAATGGAAATTTAGAGTATCAAACCCAAGGGGGCCCTTAGAGGTCACTTCCTGTCATCTTCTGGACGGAAAAATGAGGCTCAGAGAAGGGAGCCAGCCCCTCAGGGCCACACAACGAGTTGGCAGCACAGTTGGGCCTGGGAAGAAATGTGGCCTGTCACCCAGCGCAAGACTCCAGTCTTTGGGGAACAGGGTCACAGGGTGGCCCCGGGCTCCCAGACCTGCAGTAGGTGGCCACTCCCATCACGTGGGCTCAAAGCGGGAAGCAGGCACCCTCCTCATGCTGCTCAAAGGAAGGGAGGAGCCTGGGCCCCGTGTAGCCCTGTAGGGTGCTCTGGTCTCAGGAGAGCTTATGACTCTTGTCAAAGAGGAGACTCTGGCCAGCCTTAATATTAGAGGACTGGCCTCATAGTGCAGAGTCCAGGTTCACTGAGGGACAGCTCAGAACTGGGCTCAGGATCCCTCAGGATCCCAGGTAGACTAGAGAGAATCGGTGTCTATTTTAGGCGAGGCTGAGCATGAGCCGAGCCTGGGCCAGCCCTGGTGGGCACATTGAGTAGGGAAGCCGAGACCTCGCTTTCACTTCCTTTCCTGATTCAAAGGGCAACAGTAGTCTAGGGAGAGATCGGGGCTCAATTGAAAGGATCTCGGCTTCTTTTTCTCATCTCTCTGTATTCTGAGAGTCAAGAGAGTGATTCTTGATATAGGAGTATGGGACATGATGTGTGATCATAAAAAGTCAGCTGTCGCTCTCTGGGCCCATTTCCTCATCTGTAAAAGGGGACGGGCCTCTCTGTCCTGCTGAGCTCACAAAGGTTTTGTAAGGTCCAGTGAGTGGACGGGAGTGATGGGGCCCGGAGGAAGGAGGGTTGGTGGGATGGAGCAGGTGGGGATTCAGCTCTTTCTTGAGCTACTGGAGTTTGAAAGCGGGGTCCCTAAATGGAGCCTGGCCCTGCCCTGCCCCATCTGTATCGCCAGTTCCCACGATCTTCCAGAGCAGGACCTAGTTCCGCCCAGACCCTAGCCATTTGAGCAACGCTTGATAAAGCTTTGGAAGGGTCAGCCTGGATCTCTTGGATCTGGGAGTTGTAGGGATGACCATGCTCATCCTCCCCGTCAGGCAGAGAGCCTCGAAGTTGCCAGAGGACGTCAGCGCAGTTTCTCCTTTGATCCTCACAGCCCGGCCTTGTGGCCAGGGCGGATGTTATGACCCTGGTGTTACTCATGGGGAGGCCAGAGCAGGAGAAGGAAAAATGTCTGCTGACTCGGGGGCCTGCAGGGCCCTTCGTGACGTTCCAGGCTTCCTTGGGTCCCTCCACTTTCTTCTTCCTCAAGGGCCCTGGGCTGGGGAGGGCGAGGTGCATGAAGGTGCAAGGGGGAACGAGGTGAAGAACCCAGAGCTCCTGGCAGCTCTGGAGCCACCGCCCGACCCAGGCTGCCCGCTCCTGCCTGTCCCCATGTCCGCTGCCAGCTGGGAATCTCCCCTCCTCTGCATGCTGGCCCCTGCTCCTCTCGGTAGGTGCGTTTGGCTGCTCTAAGGGGCACATCCCCTGACTGCTGCCTGCACGTCTAGCCCCAGGCCTGGGTCGCCCACCCTTCGGTTCTCTCTCTCTTTCCTCTTTCGCTTCCTTCCTTCCTTCCCTTCTTCCTTCCTTCCTTCTTTTTTTTCTTGTCCTTTCCTTTCCTTGCTTTCCTTTCTCCCCCTCTCTTTTTTTAGACTTTTTATTTATTTATTTGAGAGAGAGAGCACAATCCAGGGAGGGGCAGAGGGAGAAGCAGACTCCCCGCTGAGCAGGGAGCCTGATGTGGGTCTCAAATCCCGGGACCCCAAGATCATGACCCGAGCCGAAGGCAGACGCTTAACCAACTGAGCCACCCAGGTGCCCCTCTCTCTTTCTTAGAAGAATTTAGTATCAGAAAAATCTGTGCTCCTTCCCAAGTGCAGGGACCCTGGTGGGCTGCATACGGCAGGGCTTAGTCAGGAAGCCAGTGAGAAGCAGCCTGGCCAGAGGCAGAGATGGGAGCTCTTGTAATCCCCAAAGGATGGAAAGCCTAGGGTGAGAGACTTTATTTTTTGTGCCCCTTGTCTCCTGCCTCTCACATTAGCCCCTGGTGAGCACTCACTGTCTTTGGGAAACAGGCCACATATGGAGTAGCAGTTGGTGCAAAGACCTGAGGTGTACGTGGTGAATCCCCCCTTGGGGACAAAAACCACGTACCTGGCTTCTAAGGAGGGCAGGACTGGGGAGAGGGCTCCCTGGAGGAGGTGATGCTGGCTGGGTCTTACAGGATGGGCATGTGTGGGGGGCAGGTGTAACAGGAGTGGGCCAAGCCTGGACAAAGGCCCCAAGGAAGGAATGAATATGTGGGCTCTGGGTCAGGGAGAGGTGGCAGACAGAAGAACAGGAGGGCAGGGAGGGTGTGAGGCTGCCTCAGGCCTGCGTATGCCCAGGAGAGAGTTTGGGTTTCACTCATGGGTCAGTGGCTCTTCAGGTCTCAGATCACTGACTCCTTCAGACAATTTAGGAAAGAGAGCTCCACCTTCTCTCAGTGTAGGGAAAATGCCCAAGAAGCCCCAGCTGGCGTTGTGGGTGGTATTCCTGGATCATAGAGTGAGCCCCCAACATGGGTAATGGGGAGTCCCCAGGAAGGGGCAGCCTGTGAGCTGGAAGACGCAGGGATGCAGAGGTACCTCCAAACCTGGTGAGCAGTGCTCTGGCACCTGCTACCCGTGATGCGTCTGGGATCCCCTGAATGGCAGAGTGTTGTGCTGGGTGCCTTTGGCACCACTTACACTAGACGGTCTGTGCCTGGGGCCCAGGAGGCCAAGGTGTGACTACCATCAGTCATAGACACAGCCCAGGGGATGCGCCTGGGCCAGGCTGTGGCTTGGCTGTTATTCCGTTTGGGCCCTAATGCTGTTCCAGTTCCCCAGGGGCCCGGGTCCAGGGCTCTCAGCCTAAGGACTTTTCTTCTGAATAACAAAATTAATCTGTTTGATATTTGTGTGTGTGTGTGTGTGTGTGTGTGTTTAAATAAATTATTACCTGCACATACTAAGACATCAAAAAGGAACAACAGGGTATATGGTGAAAAACCATACCTTTTGTCCTCTGCCCTGCCTTCAGTCCTCTTCCTGGAAGTCAGCATCGGGAAACCTGTCAGAGATAGTCTTTGCATGCACAGGCAAGTGCTATTAACATGTGTTTGTTTCTGTCCCCACAAGGACTTTCATTTTAAAATGCAGTGCCAGACTTCCCCTCATGGGTTTCCTTGTCTGTAAAAGCAGACAGCTGAACAGACCAGGGATTTTCAAACTGTCCTGGAAGCCTTTAGGCTGGGCTCTGGTGTCCCCACCAACTCATTCATTCAGTGAATATCAAGCTGCCTCCCTTCCTCACCACCCTACCTCTGTGGTTGCCTGGGAATGTGAGCAAGAAGGTCGGCTGCTGGAGGACAATTTGGAAATCCCCAAAGCAGGTGGTCTCCAGGCTCCTCTACACCATCCCTATAACTGCTTGCTTCTGCTTGCTTGCCTCAAATGACAGGAAGCTCACTTTCCCTGAAGCAGCCCATTTCTTGTGTGCACAGCTCAGCTGAGAAGTTCTTACTTGCCCTCACTCACAATCCACCTCCCTGTAATCTCCGCCCACAGATTTTACATTCTGCCCTCATGGGACAGGGCTCACAGGCCCTGGATTTTTAGTGCCATTTTACAAATGAGGAAACTAAGGCTCAGGGATGCAGAGTGACAGAACATGGCCAAACCAGGAACGCATCAGCACTGGAACTCAGGGAGGGATACACTTTTCTCAGGAAAAATACCAACATTAAAATAGCCTCCTAGTCAATGAGATTACATAAATTATAATTTGTAGAGTACTAAAGGTGCTGTGTAAGTATTAAGTTGGGGGGAGGGGGGAGCCTGAGACTTTGTGTTTGAGGCTCCAGAATAGGAAACAGGGCAGCATAGGCTCTCTGCGGCTTGGTGGAAATGGTCAAGTCCATGACCTTCTTCCTGCCCAGCCCTGTTGCAGGCACCCAAGCCTCTGCTAAATGGGGTTGAGGGCTCTTGGGGGTGGCCCTGCCCAGTTACTGTTTGGATTCAAAGCTGACGTAGATTCAGAACTGACACACTTACCTTGGCCCAGGGTGCTCTGGGCTCCTACTATGTCCACGGCAAATCCATTCCTCTCCTTAGGCTTCAGTTTTCCCATCTATAAAATGAGGTGGTTGGATTAGATAAGAGGTCAGAGGCCAGCAGATATTTTTTTCCCTTAATTTGAATTTGTTGACAAAATGTAAACCACGGGCGATCTTACCCAGAGAATCAGCTCCTCGGCCCCTTCTGAGATCTGGCGGCACCATTCTGCATGGGCGGCCAGGAGCTGAGCGGCATAAACTGTCTCTTGTACGCACAGTAAATGTCCTGCCAGCCTGCCTCACACACTTCTTACTTGTAGGCCCATGTTTGCCATCCATGGACTAGATAGTTTCTGGGGACGCTTCCCATTCTGGAATTAAGGAAAGGACATCGGCTGTGTGTCCCTGTCTCAATGCTGGTGATGCAGAGATGGATGCAGACAAACCCTGCCCCCAAGGGGCCCCTGGCCTCAGGGGCCCAGATGGAGTAGAGATTAGCTGCCCCTGGGTAGGAAACTTCTCAGGGAAGATATCTAGCCTGAATGAGAAGGGTGGGTAGGGTTTACCAGGTGAAGGGGAGGGCAGTCTGGTGTTGCCAGAATCAAAACCATTAAACAAATGGTCATCCCTCAGAGATCACTGAGGTCACCTTCTTCAATCAGGGAGATGATTTTTTAATTGCCTATTCTCTCTTTTTTTTTTTTTGGAGAGAAAGAGAGAGAGAGAGAGCGTGCATGTGCAGGTGTGCATGGGGGGGGGCAGAGGGAGAGAGAGAATCTTAAGCAGGCTCCCTGCCCAACACAGAGGCAAATGCAGGGCTTGATCTCATGACCCTGAGATCATGACCTGAGCCGAAATCAAGAGGCAGGCACCCAAATGACTGAGCCACCCAGTGCCCCAGACTGCCCATTCTTTTAATAAAATCTGTGCCACCTTTTCTGTGGGCCTGGGATCAACTTCCTGGCTGGCAGATCAGGTCAACACTGTGAGTTTGGGACTGAGTCTGGCTCTCTATAGAGTCCTGAGTGATTTCAGGCAGATATTTTTCCTCTCTGGACCTCAGTACCTCATGCAGTTCTTTCCTCTTGAATGTTAAGACTGCTACATGAATGTTAAGACATACTGATGTCGTGTCTCTCCAGAGGGCTGTGAGCGAATCTGGAAGGGAGAGAGGGTCTATTGCCCAGGACTTCCACCTCTCCTTGGGGGCTTCTGGAGACCTTCAGTTCAGTGGGGAAGAAAGAGCATGGAGAACAAGAGACATGAATCATCTACAATCTGATCTGGCAGGTTCTGCCCCCAGCCATTGAGTCTGCACTCCTGACCCATTCCCACTCTAAGGGGAAACTTATTCTAGCATCAACTAAGATCAACATGGAGGTGATAAGTTCTCTCACGTATAAATTCCCTCAAACTGAACTAACTGAGTCCCAGGACTACTTGTAATACTACTTAGTAATCATCTGAATGTCTATGCAGTGGCTTCCTTACCAGGGAGCCTGCTCTCCCATTAGCTCCTGTGGGAAAAGGCAGGGCTTGGACCTGCCGTGAACAGAGGCGGATACTGAGGCTAGAGGCAGGAAGTGACCAGTCCAAGACCTTCGAGCCAGTGGGTGGGGGATGGGGTGCCTCTCTGGGTTTCTGACTCTTGGCCCCCCTCCAGCCTTGGTTTTTCAGACCTCTGATGCTGGTCTCCTTTCCCCAGGTACAATGGCTTGGTGACTGGCACAAGGGCCAAGGGCATCATTGCAGTCTGCTGGGTGCTGTCGTTTGCCATCGGCTTGACTCCCATGCTGGGCTGGAACAACTGCGGTCAGCCAGAGGGGGGCCAAAACCACTCACAGGGCTGTGGGGAGGGCCAGGTGGCCTGTCTCTTTGAGGATGTGGTCCCCATGAACTACATGGTGTACTACAACTTCTTTGCCTGTGTCCTGGTGCCCCTGCTGCTCATGCTGGGCGTCTACTTGCGGATCTTCCTGGCGGCTCGGCGACAGCTGAAGCAGATGGAGAGCCAGCCTCTGCCGGGGGAGCGGGCTCGGTCCACGCTGCAGAAGGAGGTCCATGCTGCCAAGTCACTGGCCATCATTGTGGGGCTCTTTGCCCTCTGCTGGCTGCCCCTGCACATCATCAACTGCTTTACCTTCTTCTGCCCAGAGTGTAGCCATGCCCCGCTCTGGCTCATGTACCTGACCATCATCCTCTCCCACACCAATTCTGTCGTGAACCCCTTCATCTATGCCTACCGCATCCGTGAGTTCCGCCAGACCTTCCGCAAGATCATCCGCAGCCACATCCTGAGGCGGCGGGAGCCCTTCAAGGCAGGGGGCACAAGTGCCCGGGCCTTGGCAGCTCATGGCAGTGATGGAGAGCAGATCAGCCTCCGCCTCAATGGCCATCCTCCTGGGGTGTGGGCCAATGGCAGTGCCCCTCATCCTGAGCGGCGGCCCAATGGCTACACCCTGGGGCTGGTGAGTGGAGGGAGTGCCCATGAGTCCCATGGGGACATGAGCCTCCCAGATGTGGAGCTCCTCAGCCATGAGCACAAGGGAGCATGCCCAGAGTCCCCTGGCCTCGAGGGTCCCCTGGCCCAGGATGGAGCAGGAGTGTCCTGATGATCCACTGAATTTGCCCCTTCCTGCAGGAAGGAAATCTTTCTCTTTGGTGGATAGAGCCAGTCACGTTGGGAAAAGAGTGAATGTGCCTGGAGACCCTTTTCATGGCCAGTTCCCACTTTGGACTGAGAGGAGGGGGCCCTGGCTGGAGCAGCATGAGGCCGAGCAGGAAGGGTTTGGAGTCCGAGGAAGTGGACGTTTCACGATGGGAGGCCCTACATCAGGTCAAGGCCACGGCACCAGAGCATCTTGGCTGGGCAGGGCCTGGTTCCCCACTCTGGTGGCATCTAGAAGTACCACCTTGACTTGGCAGAACAGCTGTGGCAGAGCAGGCTGGCCGGCCCTGAGGCTGGGGGGCGGGGAGGGTGGCTCCAACAGGCCCCCTACCACACACACACAGACCACCCTCCCCAGACTTTCCAAGGGTTCAGGAGCTGCTGTGCCCAGAGGTGGCATTTTTCTTTTTCTTTCTTTCTTTTTTTTTTTTTTCCAGGAGAAAATGTTAAGTGTGAAGAATACTTTTTTTTTTTTTTAATTATCTTCCTTCCCTGGTTGCTGGGTCTGTTGTCAGTCCTGCTGCTCACCCCGCTCCAGGGGTCAGCCCAGGGAGCCCCAGGCAGCCCTCTCTGGCTACCATGAGCAGCCATGCACTTCTTACACTATCAGTCCCAGGGCCATCTTTGGGGGCCACAAAGCTGGGCTCAAGGACGGGGAGTTGTAATGGAGTGCTGCCTGACTGTGGGCTCAGGGGAGGAAGTGGGGACTGGCCCACCGTGCGGTGTGCCTGGGTAGCTCAGAGCTGCCCAGTCAGAGGCCCTATCTAACTGCCTTTCCTTCTGAAGGGAATGTTTTTTTCTGAGATAAAATAAAAATGAGCCATGTTGTGTTTTAAGCTTGTCCAATGAGAATGGTGTCTGAGTTCCTTTCCCCATTCCATAGTCATGCCTGGCACACATACATATGGGGTGCATATTGCATGTGTGAGAGAGTGTGTGCATTTGTGCATAGAGAACAGACAGACACCCTGCCTGACTGGGGGTGCCTCACAGGCTCCCATCTTCCAAGGGAAAAGGCTGTCTGGATGCACCAGAATCTAAATGCCCCTGAGCAGCCCCCAGACCTGTGTTCCTGTGAGACGGGGAACTTGTGGGAAGAGGGGCTTCCCAGCTGCTCTCCCTCCAGAGGCCATGACCCCCTCTAGCCCTCAGTGTGGAGTGTGGCTCCTCCCTCCCTCATTGCTTCCTTAAGTCCTGAAAGGAGTGGCCTACTCTCCCCATGCCCTGCTCCACCCCTTAGCCGAGAGGCCACAGAGGGATCTGGAAAGAGATATGGGTGAGGATTCAACTGCCTTCCCCTTCCTCTGGAGTCACCCCACTTCTTGCTCCCAACAAAGAAACCTGTACGGTTTCCTGCTCTGAAGCCTGCCCCTGGGGCTGTGTCATCCTTCCATGCTGGACAAGTTTGAGGCCCAGGGGGAAGTTAGCAATCTGCTGCCGCCGGAGGGCCAGTCTGGCCTCAGGTCTCATAAGCACACTCAGGCAGGGAGGGGGAAGGGGTGTTAGAACTTCACAGGTAATCCTCACACAGCCCTGGGAGCCCCATTTCACAGACGACTGAACAACCTCTTTTGAACAGAGAGGTTAAGTACTTGCCCCAGGTCACATAGCTAGTAAGTGGCAGAAATAAACCTAAAACCCAGGTCTGACTACAAAATCCATGCTCTTGTGAGGAACTATTTCAACCAAACCAAAAAGTATGAGATAATACCAGGTCCCCACCACTCTGCTCAATAAATGAAACATTACAACTACAGTGGAAGCATCTGACTCCTCCCCATATTATTACCCTGCTTCCTACACCTGGAAACGACTGCTTTCCGAGGATTTCATTTGGTTCCACTGCACATCTTTGTACCTTTACTACACGGGTGCATATGTACTTCTAAGCCAACAGAGATTTGCTTTAGGCTCTATTTTACCGTTACATCAATCAGAGGTCCTCCAGGCTGGCTGCACGGAAGAGATACTTAAGGTACTTTGAAAAGCACCAAAGCCTAACCCCCTCCCCCAGAGTTCCCCAGGGGTTCTCATGGACAGCCAGGGCACAGAAGCACTGAGATAATTGCACACGCCCATCCCTGTCCACACCAGCTCCCGCCTCTCTCCTACACACTTTGGTCTGTGCTGACTATGGGCTGAGGGTAGAGCAGTGCCTGGGTTGTTTCTAAGGAGGCCAAGAGTATGGATGCTGTTGGTCCTTGTGACCAGTTGGTGGGAAGAGGCCAGAAAGAGAACCACAAGGGTAGAGAAGGAAAAACATCGTCTCGCCTGTCTTTACTGAGGCTTCTTAAGTACTGAGCTTTGGGTACTGAGTACATGCGTGTAGGCTTTGGGGCCAGGGAGGGACAGGACCAAGGGCTCAGGAAAGGCTCCCAGGTACTACCGATCCCCAAGTGCTCTTAGGGACGGCCCGCAGCCTGGCTCCAGAGCCCAGACAATTCTACCTCCTCAGGTCCCACGGGGCCCAGTACCCTACCTCCATACGCCGCCCCCCATGCAGGCTCCCACTGTGAGTCATGCCTAGAGTATAGGAGCACACGCACAGAAATAAACAGATGCATGCGTCACCCCCTGACCATAAGAGAATACACGTGTGCGCACGCGAACATACACATGGGCAAAGCCCACTTCAACAGAAATAGGTGCCCACAGTAGCAGCATAAGGTCGATGTAAAGCTTGGCCCAGCCCTATGGAGTGCAGATGCGTCTGCCCCAGGCCAGGCTGCCAGGGGTACTACCAGGGCCGCTCTGAACCCTACAGCTCTGTCCAAGGGCCCTCTGCATTCTCCATGCTCTGCCCAAAGGGCTAAGAGTGGATAGCATGTCTCATTCAGACCTGTCCTGAGCACAAGGGTCCCATCACAGAAACTATTCTGGTGATGGCCTGAGCCCCTCTCCATGGCAGCAATGGCCAGGGCCCCCAGGGAGGCCTATGGGCAGAATCCTGGTTCAACCTGTGTTCTGGTTCATCATCACTGGCCCTCAGGAGAGGCAGGCCCTCTTGCAAGCTTCCCCTTTCCCTCCTCCACTTGAAACCCTTCCTTTGCAGCTCTCCCCACTTGTGTTAAAATCCTTTCCTCTAGGAGACCTCACACAAAATGCTCTGGGCCCCAGAGAACCACTTGGGAAGTGACGTAGAGCCTCAGTTCTGTATGTGCTGACAAGGGGCAAGCCCTAGTGACAAACCACAGCAGAGCAGGGATGAGGGACAGCCTGGAGAGTAAGAGGAAATGAGTGATGATGCCCCCTGGGTCTACCAGAGCTGGGACCATGGTCTTCTTTTCAACCGTGGTTGGAAAACAGGAGCCGGCGGGTCTCAGAAGCCTGGAGAGAGGGAATGGTTCTGTGCAATTTGCCCCCATGCTTGGGGCTAAAGGAATGGTATGTCAGCGTGGCATTCTGTACCTAGAATGCAGCTCCTATCCTGCTGTGCCAAATAACACCTGGCATGGCTGCTCCAGTGGGCAACCCCCCGAGATCCTGTGCTGGGCCCAAGTGCTGCCTGAGCCTGGCAACAGCCCTCCGAGATGGAAGAGGTTACGTAGGTGTTGGCGGGGACCTAGGTCGACTGTGGGACAAGCCAGTCCCTACCAGGTCTTCATTTACTCTGAAAAGTGGATGGTGCTCTATAGAGTGTCAGATTATCACCTCTCCCCCTCTCCTCACTCCAACCCCTCCTCTGTCCCTAGGCACCCCTCGCTACAGCTGTCACTCATCATTAGCTGTGACTGTCACTGTTGGAACAGCCCCTGTCAGGTTGCAGAGCCAGGAGGGGGCAGGAGAATGTCAGATGACTCAGACAACCTCAAAGGACAGGGATGGGCACGCAGAACCTAGAGCCTAGGTACAGGAGGCACCATTCTAGATGCTCTGCCCTGACCCTTTCCTCTGCCAGAGGAGAAAGAGCAGCTCAGCAGAGCTTTCCCACAGGCCCCCCTGCCCTCCCACTAGTCAGGCTTAGAGAAGGGCTGGATGCAGAGAGAGGCCAGGCTGAGGGTATCATCGGCATGAGGCTGGGCAGGCGACAGGTGAGACAGACCCAATGTTCTCTGACAGAGGGATTTTTCCCTGCCAGTGGAAAAGGCTTTGCATGGAACCGTCCACAATTCTTTGCCTTGCCCAAGGGAAGTGTCTGTGTGTATGTGTAATTTTGCAGAATTAGCCGTCAGACTAGCACCTGATGACCAGCTAACTTCTCAGCAAAGGCTTGGATAGGACAGAGCAGGCTAGAACTCGAGCCCCATCTCCTGACTCTGTTCCACTCTCAACAACTTAATGAGCACCTACTGATGAATGCTAAGCCTGGAGGGGGGTCAGCACGGGTGCACAGGGAGCCAACAACCAACTAAGGAAACTAAGCTAGATGCAGCCTGTCAGGGCGGCCAGAGGTGAGGGCCCTGAGTGGGACACAAGTGCTGGAGGTTCAGAGGAGGAACAAGTTGCATCCAACTGGGCAATCAGGAGGCTGAAGTTGAGTTAGCCTTTTAAAGGCCAGCGGTCAACTCCAGGGCCCGTATCTTCAAGGTGTTCGGTAGGAGATAAGAACAAGAAGCAGCTGAGTAACTGTGCGCCTGATTTACATCTGCCTACACAGAGGCAATTTTCAAGTTAAAATGTTGTCAGAGGGTTGTCACAGTTTTGATCTTTCCTTTCTGTTCTTTCTCAATCCACCCACATTTTCTGGTTGGGTTGGAAAGGGGAGTGAGGGGAACAGAGCCTGGTTTAGATTCCGAGATTTTTGGAATTGTTAAAGTTAAACAGGACTTTTTAAAATGATCTAGTTTTCTCTTAGGAAAATTCAGGCCCAGAGCCCAGCATCACAACTGTTCCATCAGATGCAGAGCCTTCAGGGGAATTAGAGAAAGCAGGTCAGGAGTTCTACAGTCATCCCCAGACTATCTCTTGGTGTTGCAGCTTGATTCTCTTTCCTGCCTAGTTCAGAGATGTGAAATAATCCCTCTGCACACTCCTTCCAGCCACCACCCTGCTCCACCGAACTCTAATGGGGATTCAGCAGCAGGCTCTACCCTGGCCTTGCTGTTGACTTCCTCTCTTACTGTGGGCAAGTCATTCTCTGAGCTGCCATGCCCACTTTCAGATAGAACATGACAGTAAATGCGAAAGTGCTTTGGAAGGTAGGTGTGACATAAATGCCCAGGGTTATTATTCGTGCTATAACAAAACCATTCTCAGTTCAGAAAACACAAGAAGGCAAGCAATCATAGCTTCAGTGTTCTTGAGACCAGAGTAGAAAGGAGGCCAGAAGGGAAGGAAGATGGAAGGGAGAAAAGGGCTGCTTACCTGGTTGCTATACTCTGTTCACTGGTATGGCCCAGCCATCGCCAGATAAAGAAATGTGGTGAGTGTGAATTTAAGCCAGGCACCTGGTGTCTGTAGGACCCAGGAGGTAGGTGTGGGAACTGGCAGATGACTTAGGCAAGGAGCACTGACTATGGATCATTTACTTATCTTCAGCCCCGTCCTGTCCCATATTTTCACTAAAGTCTTGAATCCAGGGGAACTAGGGCTTATCAAAGAGGTGAGCAGAGAAGGGGTCTAGTCTGGGCTGACAGAATTCAAAATCACATCAGGGGGCCAGAGAGATAATACTGAACAAAGATCCGTGTAAAGTCCTCCACTGAGTTTGAAGAAAGCAAATGTACAGGACTAAGACCAATCATTTCATGTCAAAACAACATGGACATTTCACCTGCTAAGTTCAGCACGGGCTAGCCTGGTGGGAAATGCCTGGGAGACAGGGGACCATGGCCTTAAGGGGCATCACACCACAGTCCCTAGGGGCCCCAGGCTGAAGGAGCTCCCTCCCAGCTCATGGCAGAAGA